GTTTTCAACAAATATGTTCTTGAGATAGTGTGATTCGATGGAAAAAAAAAACCAAATATATAATGAATATTTGGAAATTTCTGAGTCATTAAGGAGGTCAGAGCACTCAAAATTATGTTCTTTTTTTTTTTAAGACAGAGTTGCTTGCTTGCAACTATCACTCATTAGTAAATTTGGTTGTAAAAATCAACTTCTCATTATAAATTTTTTTGAAAAATAATGAGAAAACTGAAAGTAAGTAGCAAAAAAATAATAGCTAAACAAAAAAGTTATTATAATCTGCAAAAGCAAATCAATGAAAAAGTTCTCTCAACCTATTCAAATTTTTTTTGTTTTCTAGCTTACTCTTTGGTCTTCTCCTATGTTTCTTTCCCTGACTAGCTTATTAGAATAAAAAAAATAAAAAAGGTTAACAAGATACTAAGACTCAAACACGTGCCTCTTTATTGCAAAGAAATATAATTATTTATTGTAACGATATAGGGATTGACTTTATGTGAAGTCATTTTATTAATTATTTCTTCTATATAAATTTTAATATTTTGCAGGATCATTTTAGTTCTTATTGAACCTTGGCATTTCTGTCATGCTCATATTGCTCCTGTTGGAGTTTTTGGGTTAGGCTCCTTACGTGCCTTTAATTTTTTCGTAATTAGATACGGATAGACCGATCTTTGAATTTTCTTTGTAGCTCTTTGAGCATGTAGTGAGCTATTGAATTCTTTAAAGATTTACCTTTATGTATAAATATATATAATATATTATAATATAATAATATATATAAATAATATATATACAGTCCTGAAAATGAGTGGTGTTCACAGTGCTGGTGAGCTCTATGGATGAGATATTTCATATTTGTTTATCTCTGCAACGTAGCAAACACTTATTGATGGGGTATCTAATTGATAGCTTTATCAGCATGATGCATATCAATTTAAACTTTATATGCTTTCAGTAGCTAGCACGATTCAATCTCTGTTGGTGGAATAAAAAAGATATTGAAGGTGATTTTGACCCTCTTCAATATAAAAATTTTATCTGATGAAAATTGAATCATATTAATTTGGCACAATTATTTTTCCTAGAAAATATATTCTTACAAAAAAATGGATGATTTTGAAAAAAAAAAATCTTCCAAGAAGTTTAGAACATTGTTTCATTGAAGATGAACCATCTTCTAGGGTCTTTTTTTTTGGAGATTCTTCAAAGAAGTTATCAGTGCTTATATGAAGATGCTTTGAGCCATCTTTGAACCACGCTCGAAGATATTTCAAAGAAGGTTCAATCTTATTCGAAGACTTCGAAGAAGGTTCAATCCTATTTGAAGACACATTTGAGAAGAATTGATACAATTCGAAGATGCATCAAAAAAGGTTTGATCCTATTTAAAGAGTCCTATAGGATTATTCAATCTATGTTTAATCATTTGATTATTATTCCAATATAATTGATTCATACTTTTCCCTCAGTATCATTTTAGAATTAACTCTAATTGTCTTATTATGAATGCAAAAATGTAATCTGATCATATTAGTTGAGAGGCACTCTGATGCTCAAGTTAATTACTTATAAGGCTGAGGGTGTAATGGAGAAACTAGTCAAATGGTTTGAGGATGATGACCTCACAACAATGCCTAGAGTTCTCGCATTGGACAATTCTTCAAAGCCATGAGATATAATTTTCAAATGCTCTAATTCATCAACTACTGTTGAGGCGGCCATCATTTATGATGTTAAGAATGAATGTTACTCAATTATGTTTAATATTGACATGAAAAATTGAAATTTTAGAATTATATAATTTTCTTTACTCATTGGGTTGAACTTTGAGGAGTTCTCATCTATTGTGAACTTGTAGATAATGAGTAAAAGTAGTATGTTGCCTAATAATTACTTAGATGTCGACAAAAACTTTAAGAATAAAGGCCTAAAGAGAGCTTTCTTGGAGTGCACTGTGATAGCCCAAATTCTTAACTATCGAGATATTGTCCACTTTGACCTAAGAACCTCACGATTTTGTCATGTTAGTGTAACTTCACAGTAGGTCATCCATTCAAGAATTACTTTGGAATGAGCACACTTAACTGCAGAGTTTTTTATGAAACTTCCAGCCATTACAATTAAAGGCGCATTAATGTTTAAGAGTTAGCTTTCTTTTACTTAAGGGATTTCACAATCTCCCCCACTTAAGTAACTACTAATGTTCTTGTCAGCACATCTATATCACAGAATCATCCACCAAGCAAATAGGACTCTAGAGGTGGCCCCTACAAGTTTAAATGGTTACTCTCTTCATGTAGCATTTTGTCCCATACAGGATATATTCAAGAGGCGACTCCCATGATATATCACTTTATCTTGTATGGGACTTAGCTCCTATCTTCAGGCTAGTGTATTGCTCTAATATCAATTGTGACTGCCTAAACTTTTAATTATCGAGATATTATTCACTTTGGCCTACGAGCCTCATGATTTTATAATATTGATGTAACTCCAATAGGTCACCCATCCCAAATTACTCTAGTATGAGCACGCTTAACTGCATAATTTCTTACAAAAATTTCAATCATTATACCAAAAGGCGCATCAATGCTTAAGAGTTACCTTTTTTTTACTTAAGGGATTTCACAATATCTTCCACGTAAGTAACTGAAGTCCTCGTCAGAATCTGTATCTCAGAATCATCCACCAGGCAAATATGACTCTAGTGGTGACTCCTACAACTTCAAGTGGTGGCTCCCATCATGTAGCACTTTATCCCATACAAGATTCAGGAGGTGGCTCCCATGGCATAATACTTTATCTTATATAACACTTAGCTCTCATCTTTTGGCTGATGTATTGCTCTGATACCATTTGTGACAATCCAAACTTTTAATTATTGAGATATTGTCTGCTTTGGCCTAAGAGCCTCACGGTTTTGTCATGTTGGTGTAACTTTTCAACAGGTCACCCATCCCATAATTGCTCAGGGATGAGCATGCTTAACTGCAAAGTTACTTACAAAAATTCCAGCCATTACACCAAAAGACGCCTCGATATTTAAGAGTTAATTTTTTTTTACTTAAGGGATTTCACATGCACTGTGGCAATTGATTCATGGAAGCTTAAATTAAATATATATTTTCTAGATGATATACTCAACTATGAAAAATATAACATTATTTTAACTACCAAACTTCATAGAGTTAAGGATGAGAAAGAATTCATTAGATACCAATTTATATGAGGGGATTGAAAAGTTATATGGCTCATTATAAGCACATTATCTTAAAAAAATGCCTTAAGTTAGTACCCTATAAGTGCATTTACTACATCATTACAAAATATGACTTATGCAGCCTTACTAGAGGTGAGTAGAAGATGTGTCAATTCCCTTGGAGAGAGAGGGCCAATAATGCCAAATTGGAATTGCTAACTAGAAAGGATTTCTTATGTATATTGATGAAAAAGGATGTGATTATTTAACTTTTTAGACTTCTTTATGTGTTTAATCCTAATTTAAATAATAAATCATTGCATATATTCTTTGCAGGAAATTGTCCATCCTATACTAGAGCCTAGATTAGATGAACATGACTTCAGTGAGTCAATTATACATACTCCTTCATAACCTATCCTAATTGTAATTATAAATATGAAATTGAGCTCATTCATTTTTGGAAGAGATCAGGGGATGTAGTAAAAGAATAGCTAGTTAAGGAGAGGGAGAAATTGAAGAAACATTTTAACATTATACAAGAGTTTGAGAAGCTAACAACTTAAGCTTAATACTAACCAAATAAGATTTAAAAAATTATATGCTCTAAAAATTGTTGCCCAAATGCTCGTAAATAGGGAGGAACAAATGAAGAAGGAGGAAAGGAGGATAACAAAAAGAAAGGGGTGGAGGTCGAGAAGCAAAAAAAGGTGGAGGATGAGAAGGTGTAGAACATAGGGGATGCAGCCTCATATATTATCATCATGCCTCTAGATAGGAAGGTTGAGAAGGCAGGGGTTGTAGCTTCATCTCTTACCATATACATAAGAGTGATGTATAAATTGCTGATCAAAAGCGAAGTCTACATAAAAGAAAAAAAAACAATTGATTGATGATTTTAGAGATCCGTCAAAAAAGAGGTACAAGCACTTAGATATACTTGTCATTGATTCACTCTCCCCCATCAATCAGGAGTCTATATATGCTTTCAAGTCTTTAATGTTTAGACTGATTAACAATTCTGAAGAGAGGGAGCTGTGGATGGGCACCATATATGCAAACATGGTTTCAATAGTTAGCAACTCCAACATTATGTTTAGTAATAAGTTAAAAGAAAAAATTTGCTACACTAAACATGTATAATGAATTAATTTATATTTTTTAACATCATATGCATTCTTATATTTTCTAATATGGGAGTGGATATGACACTATTCAAAGACCAATTGAACAAACATCAACGCATTGTATGAACTATTTGATTAGTAATGTGGAATAATAATCACAATATTCAATAAGTCAAAGAGAAGGATTCCTTCAAGTGGCCTAAAGAAGGCCTCATATATGCCATCGGAGGGGAGGAGAAGTTGATGACATGATACATAGTTCATAAATTTACCAATAAACATGAATTAAGTTTATTGAACAATATGTGACATCTCTATATATCTACGAAGACCATAACATTATATGATAGTGATTTCTTTTGCACGTTAACAAAGGCCTTATAGATAACGATGGAGCAATTCCAAAAATGCTTCCTTAGCTTGCATGAGCAATATTTGTTATTTAATAAATGGAATGGAACTACTCTTCAGATTTTTATGAAAATGGAAAAGAGCCATTTATATTTTATAGATGAGGTTATAAAAGTTATCATAAAATAAACCATTTGAAAATTTAACAAAAAGTGATCTTAATTAAAATAGTTCTTGCATGCATAATCTAATAATTCTTTTTTTACATTTTATTGGGGGGTAAATTAAGGATTTTATATATATATATATATATATGCTTTCGGCCGCCGGAGATGGGATCAACGGCCTACGTCGAAATCCCCCTCGCCGACTCCGTTGATTTTGAACTCGGCCTTGTCCACCGGACTAAGGACCCATGCTCGGCTGATTCTCCAGTCGTCGTCGGCGGCGGCGGTGGCGTAGGCGTGGGAAAGCTGCCAAAGCCGGAGCACGCAAAGAGCTTCGCAAGGCTAATGGTTTCGAGGTCGAGGAGGGAACCGCCCATGAAGAAGAGCCCATATCCAATTCAGAGACTGCAATCGAACGCGGAAATGGGGCTTAAAGGCCTTCGATTCCTCGACAAGAACAACAGCAAGGAAGGAGAGGGGTGGAAGGCGGTGGAGAAGAGGTTCGAGCAGTTCGCCGTTGCTGGGATGCTGCACAAGGAGAATTTCGGCCGATGCATTGGTGAGTCCGTAAAAATTTTACAATCAGAAAACCGACTGAAATTGGCTTTGTTTCAATAAAAGGAAAGTGAAAGAAATGAAAATAAATAATGAGTAGATTATGAATCTGTAATCACTGATTTGAGTTTTTCAGAACCTTTTTATTTTCATTTTCGGGTGCTTTAGCTACTCAAATCGGGATAAGTGGGAGTTGAAAAATTGCAACTTTTCTGTGTTCTTCTTATTAGGAATGGCAGATTCCAAAGAATTTGCTGTGGAGCTATTTGAAGCACTGGCAAGAAGGCGAAATTTGGATCCTGAGAACAGCATCTCAAAAGATGAACTTAAGGAGTTCTGGGAGGAGATGACAGATCAAAATTTCGACTCCCGTCTTCGGATATTCTTTGATATGTAAGCCATGAAAGCCAGAATCTAGTCATCTTCAATCCTGCAGTATTTTGTATGATAATTTGTTCTGAACTGCTAGCCGCTGGGCTGCAGGTGTGACAAGAACGGTGATGGCAAACTCACAGAGGATGAAGTGAAAGAGGTTTGCTGTGAAAACACCACTACTCAAAAAATCATATTTAAAACACAATTTTTTAGATTCGGTCATTCAATTCAATCCAGGCTTTGTTTGAGATGGCTTTCTTACTGCTTCTTAAAGCAGCTTTCATTTTTGTATTAGAAAGCTACTTTAAGAAGCAGTAGGAAAGCCATCCCAAACAAAGCCAATGTAGATTAACCTTACTATTGATTAAATTCTATGAATATCTTCTGAATCCCTCAACTGCAATTTCATTTACAAGTTAAACTAACATTTTCATATTTTAAAACATGAATTCAGGTGATTATTTTAAGTGCATCAGCAAACAAATTAGCCAAACTGAAGGGTCATGCACCGACCTATGCTGCTCTCATCATGGAAGATCTTGATCCAGATCATCTTGGCTACATAGAGGTAACAAGGCTAATCTACTTAATCTCTACTGTTAGCTTGGATAAGTCCCCCAAAAATCACATAAAAAAAAAAGTTCAATTTTTTCAAGATATGGCAACTGGAGACCTTGCTTCGTGGAATGGTAAATTCTGAAGAAAACAATGAGAAGTTGATGAAAAGATCACAGACACTTATGAAGACGATGATACCAAGTCGATACAGGAACCCTATCAACCGTTCTGTGAACAAAGCCATGGACTTCGTTCATGAAAACTGGAAAAGAATTTGGGTCCTCAGCCTCTGGCTGCTACTTAACCTATCACTTTTTTCATGGAAATTCTATCAGTATAGGAGAAGAGCAGCATTTGAAGTGATGGGCTACTGTGTTTGTATTGCAAAGGGTGCTGCTGAGACACTGAAACTTAATATGGCACTCATTCTCCTTCCTGTCTGCCGCAACACCCTCACAAGGCTTAGATCAACAGCTCTAAGTTCCATCTTCCCTTTTGATGACAACATCAACTTTCATAAGGTTATTTACAAGATTATGACTTCGTTTGGGATGACTTTTTTACTACTGCTTAAAGCAGCTTTCTAGTACAACAAATAAAATTTTTATGCTCTAAAGCTGCTTTAAGAAGCAGTAAGGAAGCCATCCCAAACAAAACCTATATTCCTCATAACAATGATTATTTACAAAGCTGACTACCCAGTTATTCATAATTTTTTCTCCAATTCTGCAGATCATAGCAATAGGAATTACAATTGGTAGCTTGATACATACAATCTTCCATGCAACATGCGATTTCCCGAGATTGATCTCATGCTCAAATCAAAAGTTCATGAGAACTTTAGGGATTGATTTTCATTTCAAACAACCAAGCTATCCAGATCTGCTTGCAAGCACACCTGGGTGGACTGGGATCGTCATGATCATCCTCATGGGCTTCTGCTTCATACTAGCAACTCATTCTTTTAGGAGGAATGTGGTGAAATTTCCTTCACCTTTCCATTACTTAGCTGGTTTTAATGCTTTTTGGTATGCTCACCACCTCCTAGCTATTGTCTATGTGCTCCTCATTATCCATTCATTCTTTATCTTCCTCACCCATGAATGGTACAAGAAGACAGTAAGTCAGCAAATTCAATCCTAATAAATGTATATGGTATCATTTTCTTTCAAAAATCAAACAATTTCAGCTAAAAAAGCTTCATGTTTTATGCAGACATGGATGTATATTATGGTCCCTGTGACATTTTATACATGTGAGAGGTTGATCAGAGCATTCCGTGAGAAAAATCATCGTGTGAATATTGTTAAGGTAAATGCAAATTAATATTGTTGCCTTCTATCAGAAGAAAATCAACAAATTCAAGGAACGTAAGGAATTTTCTTTTTGTCATGCAGGCAGCTATCTATCCTGGTAATGTTCTTTCAATACAGATGACAAAGCCACCAGGTTTTAGATATAAAAGTGGGATGTACCTTTTTGTCAAATGTCCCGATGTCTCACCATTTGAATGGTATTCTACCAATAAGCTCAGAAAATGGATTCAGATTTCAAAATATAAGTTCCTGATTCTATCATAATTGTCAACAGGCATCCATTTTCCATCACTTCTGCACCTGGTGATGATCACTTGAGTGTCCATATTAGAACCTTGGGAGACTGGACAACTGAGCTAAGAAATTTATTTGGAAAGGTACAATGTTAAAGAAAAAAACATGCAAAATCAAACCATACAAGACATAATATTCAAAAGAAATTTATCTGGTTACAGGTCTGTGAGGTTCAGGTAACTTCAAAGAAGGCAAATCTAGCCAGATTAGAAACTACAGTAGTAGCAGATGTTGAATTTCAAGAAACAAGGTAAGTGTAGATAATAAACAAAATATTGTTTTTTTTTTCTCTCAGATGTCATTGCACAAATTCTGATAAAAAATTACAATAACTTTTTGCAGATTTCCAAAGCTTCTAATTGATGGACCTTATGGAGCACCAGCTCAGAGTTACACAAAATATGATATTCTTCTACTCATTGGACTTGGAATTGGCGCAACTCCTTTCATCAGCATATTAAAGGATCTCTTAAACAATATAAAGTCAAATGAAGTAAATAGCAAAACCCTATTTAGTAAAGATTAAGGCTTCGTTTGGGACGGCTTTCTTACCGCTTCTTAAAACAATTTTATAGTACAAAATTTTAAAATTTTGTACTAAAAAACTGCTTTAAGAAGCGGTAAAAAAGCCGTCCCAAATGAAGCCTAAAACAGTCATTTCATATTCAGAATAACAGCTGATAAGCATAGAAACTGCTGCAGGAAGCACAAAGCATACATTTATCAGATCCGAACAGCCTGAAAAGTAAAGGCCCAGAAAGAGCTTACTTTTACTGGGTGACAAGAGAACAAGGATCATTCGAATGGTTCAAAGGTGTTATGAATGATGTTGCAGAGAGTGATCATAATGTAATCAATTCATCATGAGCTCAAATTTGCCTTACTAGTCTGCTTTATTGGCAACTGTTACTATTTTTGTTCTGCAGAATGTCATAGAAATGCATAATTACCTGACGAGTGTATATGAAGAAGGCGACGCTAGATCAGCTCTTATAGCTATGGTTCAGTCGCTGCAACATGCCAAGAATGGAGTAGACATCGTCTCCGGAAGTCGGGTAACTGTCTTCAGACTGTAATTTAACAACAAATTCTTGTGCTAAGCAACATATCAGTAAAAAAAAACTCACTGATTTATGGGCAACAGATTCGAACTCATTTTGCAAGGCCAAACTGGAGAAAAGTGTTCAGTGAATTAGCAAGTACCCACAAATCCTCTCGTATTGGTAAAACAGCTATGCTCTAATAATCTAGCGCTGTTTTAGGTTTCCTTTGGGATGACTTTCTTCTTGTTTTCTAAAACAGTTTTTTAGTACAAAATTTTTTTGAATTTGAAATTTTTGTATTAAAAAGCCGTTTTAAAAAGTAGTACGAAAGTTATCTCAAACAAAGCATTAGTAATGGCATTGAAATCCCATTTTTCATACTGATATTGGAGATGCAGGTGTTTTTTACTGCGGCTCATCTACACTGACAAAACAACTGAAGGAACTTTCACATGAATTCAGTCATACTACAACAACCCGGTTCCATTTTCACAAGGAGAACTTCTAGTTTTAGCATAGGAGAAGTGAGTTTAAATGTACCATAAATTTGTACAGTTACGGAAAAAAGTGGGGGAAAAAGGAGAAGATATATGTTTTATTATAATCTTGGTGTAGGTGGATTAGAATATGTTTAGAGAGAATTTCAATAGCAGTGTTGAAGTGAAGCTGTTTTTTGTTATAAATGAGGGTTTATTTGGTGTGTATAACTTCTAATTATGTTGATGCAATGAATTGGAAATTTAATTTACTTTTCAATTTTACTTAATTTTAAATTTCCAACACTATTAGTTGGGTAGGAGAGTTATTTTTTTTTATTAACTCTTCACCTCTTCAAGGATTTGACTGTCATATCTGATGAAATGTAATTAGGAGCATACCCTACTAAAAACAATATTATATTTTTATTCCTGAAATACATAATCATGAATATTTCTTGCTTACCCAACTATGCATGCAAGTTGGATAAATAATTTAAATTTAGTGGGTAAGTAAACAATTATCATATTCACTGCAAACTATATACAAAAAGCTACCTGCTAATCATCGTCAATTCTGCATGTTTTGACATTATTTAATTTTATAATAATGATATATCATTATATATATATATATATATATATAACATTCCTACAAATAATTAAAATAAAGCTGAAACTGTACCTAAACTTGACGACAAATTAGTCAAAAATAAAGGTAAACAAGAAAAGCTGCTTTATCCCTTCACAAAGCATGAAAAACAAGTAAAAAGACAGATTAATTTTGAAATAAAAAGAAACAAGACTAGACTAATAAAAATGATGTTCCTTCTGAATGGGTATTCAAGTTGGAAGAAAGACATGTTTTCTATTCATCAGTTATGAAGGAGAGTTTGAATGGATATTCAAGTTTTAAAATCAAATTGAGATCTATGACAGCATTATTTTTTTGGAAAAGGATGAACATCCCATAACTACATAGGTAATAGGTCTCCTGCTGATGACGGCGGGCTAGGTAGTAGGTAGAGAAGTAAACACTAAAACAGCAATAAATAAAAATGTCCAAGATGGGCCACTTGGTTACTGATCAAGCAAATTGATGTAGGACTACAATGCAAAAAGTAACTTGATAAAAATGTGCACGACTTATTGATTAGAATAATAATGGTTAGAACTATTAGCAAATAAAATGACAAAATAAAACGTAAGAACGGTCACTTCCGTTTAGGCTAAATTGCACAATAAGAGCTTTGAATCATCAAAATAATATAGGAAATTAACAACATGCAAATATAATAGTTTTCAACGAAAATCCATAATCTAACAATAAGATTAGAAACAATGAAGTACACTCAATCCCTACGTTTACTAAGCTCGGCAGAGTTAGGTGAACACGATCTTCATGACTAAAATATAATCACAAGCAAGAGGGTTAGACTAAGGAAATACAAGAAGAAGAATATTGGAAAACCTTTGTCAAGGCTCGGATGTCATCCTCCACTATACGGTACCAAGTTGCTCTTCAATAGTCTCGACCAAGGTGTCTAGGATGCCCTCTATGTACTCTTCTACGGTGTGGTCGATGCGCGGGTTGACGTCGAATAAGGTCGAGTGAAGAATGCAAACAAATCCTTGTTCGTCGAAGGATAGGCCGTAATCAAGTTCCGGATCGGCCATGCATGTCCTTGAGATTGAGATGTTGACGACGACGATCGTTGAGGCTTCCTTTGAAGACACCTCTTAAAATGGAGGAGATAAGCTAGAGAGATCAAGAGGTGTGAGGGAAAATAGGTGGCCGGCCAAGGGTGGGAGAAAGGTGAAGACTTTTGGTTCAGATTTTGGAAAAGAGATGGATGGAATTTTAATCCAATACTTCCTAAGTATTCTCTTATTTGAGAATAATCAAAGGAAAAAAAAGAGGAAGGGCATGAGGGGGGCGGGTAGCAAGGGGAATGGGGGAGGATTAATTTAATTCCAAAAGAAGAAGTTCCCTTTTGGAAAGAAATTAAATTAATGAGAGCATGGGGATTTCGGCCAAAGGAGGTATCAAGGGGTTTTGGAAATATTTCCAAGGTAGGGAATTGGAATTAGGAAAGAATTTCAGTTCCAATCTCATAAGGGGGCCGACGGCAATAAGTGGGAAAGAGGGATTAAATGCAAGTGTTTAATGCTTGCTTAAATTGGGGAACTTAAATTAGGGAAGAGAACTTAAATTCCCTTTAATCAAATATTGATTTGATGATGAGGATTAAAACTTTCCTAAAATAGATTTTGTATTTTAGGAAAGATTTTGAATTTCAAATCACTTGGATTTGAATTCAAAATTCATTCCTAATTTATTCAATCTAAATTAGGAAAGAATTAAAGGCAAAAAGGAGGGGAAATTCAAAGGGGGGCGGTGGCTAGGGTGGGAGTGGGCGCCGGGTTTGGTAATGGGGAGGTGAAGTCGGTTGGGTGAAGAGGGGAGGGTCTCGGTGAGGATGGGGCTTGACCGTGGGAGGGGGAATGGGAAGTAAGGCCGACGGTGGTGGGGGGAGGAGGAAGGGAAAAGGTAGAGGATAAAACCACGAACCCGACTCGTCTAGGTTGGTGGTGATGCGCAATTCTACCTCTCCTAGGGATCTCACTCCGATCTCTCAAGCTCTCACAAGAACTCATGCAAAGAGAATAATTATTTTAATCAATCACTCATTAACTTGAAAAGAAGAACAATAGGGCTATAAATAGCCTCGTATAAAGACTCACAAAATAAAAGGACGACAATGCCCCTAGAGCTTACATACGACATCCCTTAATAAAAGGGTACAACGAGAAACTAATAAAGAAAATACAATATGACATCATAAATAAGAAAATACATAAAACGACTCAGAAATACAATGACTCAATCGTGGTCGTAGATCGACGACCACGTCTCTGATAGACTTTCCACGATCTGATGTCCCCATCACAAATGGAAAATTGTTAGCATTTGAAAGAGTCCAGCAAAAGTCAATTAGCATCCCGAAGAAACATTATATACATGCCCAAGCTCAGAATCTGTTCTACAACAGCCTTAGAGTAGTAAATAAAAAAAAAAAACAAATAAAGTATTCAATGCATGAAACTCTTGTAATTATGAGTTGTAAAGAGATATTGATGTAAACAATCAAAGAGAGATTATTTCTATAGTGAATAAAACGAACGAAGTTCATACGAAATCCACATATTTTCCACAGCGTTTCACAATGTGGAAAAAAATTATAAGTACTCATTCAAACTACCATTAAACTAAAATAAATAAACTGATTGTATCTTATAAAAAAAATTTAGTTCAAGATACCCAAAACCTAAATATAATTGGGATGAGTTTTTCCATCAATGGAAATTTCTTTTTAAGAGTGCAGTATATGACTAATCAATCAAATTTATATTATAAATCCAACAAATAAAAATTCACCCTAACTAACATTTTAGTCATGATATGAAAATTCAGCTACATGACCATAGGGAAGTAATATGTATGAGTGCAAATTATGTATATAAGGATACATAAGAGCATTTTCAAATGTTCTACCACGTTTGTTTTGTTAATAGAATAAGTAATTCAATGGTTAGCAAGAAAAGTGAAAGAAAATGAGAAGATATTAGGTTAATCTGTTCCAAAAATAAAGATGGCAAAATGGTCAAATACAAAATAACTTGCACACTCCCTCGTGTGAAAGTCAAGGGTAATCTTTATATCTAATTGCACTGGCTTCGACTGAGGATTTTTTTATTCTCTATTGCTAAATAGCTCTAGCCATTTCCATGGTTGGCTAAGAATCCTCTTATGCTTCTACTAAACTTTGAGTCCTGTTTGTATCCTCATTCGTACTAAATTCTAATGATTGATGACCTTCTATTTCATAGGCTTTAGGAAGATACAGCAGAAATATCTTCTGATTTGTGAGCAGATTTCTCAAAGCTTTAACTCTATCGTAGTTTTAACACTTTCTGATAGAATTATATTTTGCTTCTGTAACACTTTCTGAAAGTCCTTATCACTCTTCCAAGATTGTTTGTATTCTGACATGGCCCCAATTTCTTCCAGCTTTGTAATCTATTTGAATAGGCACCTCATATATTTGCTGGCTGATTTGGCAAGGCTCTAAAGTCTTCTCCATGAAAGGATGGCTGCTTTTTCTTATTTTTGGCTCAAGAAAATACTTATTTTGTAAGCAACTCTGGAAAGGCAGCAATTTTAGTGGAATATTAATATCAAGTGGCAACAAGATCTCCTCTAGCTCATGCCACTCAAGATCTTCAGAATCGCCATCTTCATAAACCACTTTATACCAATTCACCTCAGAATCATATTTCACCACTTCTCCCTGGTAATATTGGCCTCCAAATAATTTTTTAACCTTCCTTCCTTCCAGCAACTCGCCAAAAACTGGATCATCAGCCAGCCGCTTATCACAAGTCCCAACACAACTAACTACAGGTTTCTTATTGCATGAAATGTTCTTTGGCAAGCCATTAATCACAACAGCCGGCTCTCCATCGACCTCAAAAACAACTGGAGATTCTGCCTCTTGTCCCTTAACTGTCTTCTCCATTTTGAACATCCAGCTTTTAGCATAAGGTTAACAGAAGAAATATATCCGTCTGTAAGGATAAATTAAAATGATTAAAATAAAAGCGTTAAATGAGAACCATCTTAATACATGAAATCCATTGATGCAGCTACAATGGACTATTATTAACAGTTGATAAAGATTCCATCTGGCATCACTCAGTTCAACGATGAATCATGGCAGCTCCCAGGCCAAATAAAGAGTTAAGACATCCTTGGCACATGACAAACAATGGGAACAATAAGAAAAGGCACCGGAAGATCATACAACACAGTATAAGTACAAATAAAAAGTAGGATACACATACAACACGGTACATGACAAGGCAGAGTAATATGTTTATGCATGCATGTATGGAGGATAAGGCATATACATAAAGATATCTATTCTCTTAAGCTGCAAGATACCTAAATCTTCTATCAGATAATTTCTATCCATATTTTTTTATCTACTCAATTAGTAATTGGTGCATGATTAAAATTTTGTCAAGTGTGATACATAACAAATTCCTTTTGTTTGTAGGTGCCGAAATTTTTGTGTTCGCCTCTTTTTCTCCTGAGAGAGGGATTTTAGATTTTGGTGCCTATAACATTATTGTTTGGAATGAAAGAAGCTTGTTGGTTGTTTTCACATTAAAGGTGAATATTTTTTAATAAAGTTGAGAGCTGCAATTTGCAGCTGTGGTTTTAAATTTTTTTATATTGTGCATATCACTCTATATTGCATTAGTGGACCCTAAGCCCTGAGCATCCTGCATCATTAGGGTTCACTAATACAACCTAAAATGATATTTACCAAAAGACAGACAAAAGAGCACAATTCATGAATTCCCAACTTCCAATTTTAACAAAAACACGTCACTTTTGATGCAAAAGCAACAAACATGTTTATTTCATTCCAAACAATAATATAACAGAAACCAAAATCTAAAATACCAAATACAAATTGAGAGCAAATATAAAATTCTATGGCGATAAAGGTTCACCCAATAAAAAGGAATATGATATACATATCAAAAAGAACAAAACGTCAATCACACACACCAATCACTAGGAAGTTAATAGAAAATGGATACAACACACAACAGTTTGATGCCATCAAAGGTTTAAAATTGTGCAATTGGGTATTGAGGCATTTTTTATTCGTGAGGCGAGACGTAAGCCTCAAGCCGTTTTAAGGTGTGAGCCTCAAAATAAAAAAAAATGCATAAAGTACGAATAAAGGTCAAAAATATTTTTTATATAATATCCAAATAATATGTTAAAGGATGACATATTAAATTTCTATTGAACTATGAACACAAATTAACATACATATGAAACAAAAATTGAACAAGACATAAAATGACAAGCTCAAAGTTGCATGAAATATAATTGAAATACAAATATTAAATGAAAAAAAAGAACGTTAAATATAAGAATTGTATGAAAGTATCATATCACATTAAGTTCAACTCAAAAAAAAAATCCCAGTTTCCTAATTCATCCACACTTAATTTCTAAAAAAGGTTGAAATAGTTGTCAACAACTCAAAAATTATATATACTATCATCATTGAGGGGGTCTTTATTTAAGTCATCATCATAACAAATTAGTCTCTCCCCTGTCTCATCATGTGAAGTCTAATGCTTTCTAATATTCTTCTTCTTTATTTGTTTTAGTTATCTTCATCTTTCATAAATATTTTCATCAACATAAATATGAGATCAATATTCCAAAAAATTTAAAGGACGTGGTGGTGGTGTGTGGCTTTCAAGTGATCCTTAACAGTGTCTATGACAGTGGTGGGCTGTGGTGAAGATGGTGGGTTGGAGGTTGAGGCAGTCGAAACAAAGTTGTTGCGACTCGGGCATGATTGGTTCGAGGCTTTACTTTAGCATTTATATAAGATTTAATGTATGCACACAAACACGCTTCGAGAAAATTTTCACTAAATTGCACTGAGGAAAGCCTCATAATGCGCAATTTTAAACAATGATGCCATCTCTACCATGTATATATACTTGGAATAAATTTATGTCAACATTCCATACAGATAATAGTAGAACAATTAATCCATTGATGAGGATGCTTAGGTGGATGAGTGGCTTGACCCTTAGAGATAGGATACGAAATGAGCATATACGGGAGAAGGTTGGAGTAGCTCTGGTGGAAGATAAGATTAGAGAGAGTCGCCTTAGATGGTTTGGTCACATTAAACGGAGGCTTTCCGATGACCCGGTTAGGAAAGTTGAGGTATTAGATTTGACTTATGTTAAGAAAGGTAGAGGTAGACCTAAAAAGACTTGGTTAGAAAATTTTAGAAATGATCTTTCTTTATTAGTTTTAAATGAGAATTTGACTTTTAACCGGACACAATGGCGAAAAAGGATTCATGTAGCCGACCCCTCGTAGTGGGACAAAGGCTTGATGTTGTTGTTGTAATTAATCCATTGATATATCATTTTTATGGGAAGTAGGTCAAGGTTGGGGAAGCAACCTTAGTTTCAACCAAGAAAGGACATTCACGTTAATATCTCATGCACGATTGTAGTTGGACAACTTTTTTACTTCCACCATCTGGATTTAGTAAATCAAGGGTTTACTGTGAAACTGGGGAAAACGTCATAAAATGCAGCTTTGACTTATCGTGAGAATTAACTTTGAGCTTTTTAGGGTTTGGCTAAATCCAGCATAAATCCCGTGTAAATCTTGCGGCCAAAGAGGTTCCTATGAAAAGAGGGAAAGACTATTACCTTCGGAAATGGCAGAGAGCGCTGACGTAAGAAGTCGGAATGCTATTAGTGGCGCTTGAAGAGTGACCGACAGAAGGTTTGCGTGTGACAAAATCAGAGAGGTGAAGTATTCAGATGGAGCAGGCAAATACCACAGGCTGACCGATTGTTTTGTAGAGAGGCTTCCAGCATAAAAAATCAAAGCCCTAAAAGTACTTTTCGCGGCCTTTAGGGTGGTCTCGATGAAGTTGGTGAGAAATGGAATCGCTCGAGAAGTCGAGAGGAAAATCCTCAAGGCAGGAAGAGGAGAGTGCCTTATTGTTAACTACACCAGCCGCGGCTCAGGCATCTCCAACCGAAAAATACATATATATATATATATGTACATGTATGTATGTATATGTATGCACATATATGTATGTATATAAATGTATTTATTTATTTCTAAATGATATTAAAAATATATTTTTCAAAAATGAAATATAATTTTCATGAATACATTTCAATGTCATCAGTAAGTTTAAAAAAAAAAATTATATTAGAATATCTTATCAGATTTTTGTCAGATAATATTTAAGCTCATCGTAAACATTTTTTTGTCATGATATCTCGACAAGAATTTTTTCATATAAATTCTCATTTTTTTAATTTCATTATAGGTGTAATTAAGATTAGATATAAAATTATGAGTAATTCTTTTAAATAATAAATTAATTCATAATGTCACAATAACAAAATAAATTAAATTTTAAGAAGTAGCTTGCGTCAAACTGCTCAAATTTGCAAAAGCCATGTAAAGCAACCAAATTTTATTCTATTACAAGAAAGCCCAATATGGCTTATTTAAGGAATTCCCCATTAGATTAAGTATCAAGGAGCTGTTTGGTTGGCTAAAAAAGAATGCATTGTAAAAGAAATATTTTGAAATTATTTGAATGAATGTATAGTCAATACAATTGAATGTTTTTTTTTTTTAAGTAATGAATGCTGTGTAAAGTTTAAATATTGTGGAGGCTAGCGTGTGGCAATGACAGTGGTGGTGGCCATGGTGGTTGACGGTTGTGGCCGGTGGCAACCAGTGATGGGTGACGAGTGGTAGAGGGTAGTGGCGGTGACCAGCAGTGGCACCTATGATTGGTGGTGGTGTTGGCTGGCAGCGGGTGGCTGAAGGTAGGTGGTAGTGGGCGGCGGCGACATAACTGATGTTTGGTGGTGGTGGTGGTCGGTGAGCGGCAGCCAACGGGCAAATAGTGGTCGACGACGGTGACTAGACGCATCAATGGTTAGCGGTCAAGCGAGGTTGCTTGTGATGTAAACAGTTTTCGCTCAAAATTAGACAAGTATTGTTTATACTATATTTAGTTTACTTTGCATTTCTTTTTCATCCAATCAAATCCTTGATTTTACACCTCTTTATATTCCAACCAAACAACCATGTAATTCAAATGAGAAAGTTACCTAGACCACCTTAGCCTATGGCTTAAAGGATGGAGGTTCAAGTTTACAGTAAGGAAGAACCCTTACGACACCATGCATAACTTACAAGCTAAGATAGAAAAATATATGAACGCAAACGAATTCATGAAGCTGTCTAAAAAACCTTGCTCAGTCAAAATAGGGAGTACTTCAAGTGACTAGAGAAGTTAAAGTTTTTTTCTTAAGCAGTGAAACCCAAACAAGTAATACTAGCTTGCATCATAATATCCATGGGTGTTTGATATTGATTTTTGTTGATAGCTTGAAGTGTTAGTGCAAAAGCTCTCAAAAGTGGGGGCACTTGAGTTTCTTGGTGGTTAACATGACAAGCAAAAGTAGCTGATACAAGAGTTGCCAAGTCAAAGTTAATTTGTCGTCAATTGCTAAAATGACGGAGGCAATTATGGGCATATGAATAAAAGCATTGAAACATTCTTTCAAAGTTCCATTGCTTGAAGAAGAGAAGATGATCGAGAGTAGGAGCAATAAAGTTTTAGGGCTAGTAGTTGCATTTTGTCATTAAGACTTAGGCTTCGTTTGGGACAGAGCTTTCTTACTATTTCTTAAAACAGCTTTCTAGTATAAAAATTAAAATTTTTATACTAAAAAATTGCTTTAAGAAACATTAAGAAAACCGTCTCAAACAAAATCTTAATTTTCGGATAAATTTTGATGCTACAAAAAAAGTATCCATCCGAAATTTATATTGTCTAAACAATTCAATCCGATAATGTTAAATGTCATGCAATTGAAGGTATTTTATTTGAATTTATTTATGACCCATAAGAAGCCTATTTGGCTTGGTAACTCCTTGACTTAGCCTGGAAACTCAACAGTCTTGATGGATCATGACTTGGGATGACCTACTGTAAGATATCCAAATTAGTTTTATGGCTTGATTCGACCTCTCTACACAGGGACACAAAAACCTTTCAATTACTAAAATAATTAATGAGATTCATAAAATCTCCACCTCAATCATGCCTAATTAAGCTAGCCTAATAAATGAGAAATTTTTCATTGCATCATAGTAAGGCACCCAATTTGGACATCATTAGGAAGCATCTACATAGCTAATATAACAAGATGGACTCAACGCTAATTATTGATGCAATCCTACTTGGAAACTCTTTGGTTTTTAACATGCTTTGGACACTCACATTTCTTTCTTAATACGTATAGAGAAGTGTTTTTGGTAAGCGATAACTTATTGAATTATAGTAATACTTGGAAACAAAACAGAAGCGGGTGTTTATTTAACTTGACACTTGGGATCAAAAGCAAATTCTATTTCTCTTATTTCTTCTAGTTTTCTTGGTCGCCATTGTTCATTTTCTGCTCACTTTTGCTGTTCTGTAATTGCTTTCATATCCTATTTTAGACCCACTATGGTGAATGGTTCTTTACTCGTTCAATTGGGTATGAAGACATCCAAGTTCTAATCATCCTGGAAAACTGTGATAGGACTTCCTTTTTTTTCTTATGGGTTTGACAGTTAAGACATTTTATTTCTATTTTAGTTTTCCCTCAAAAGACCAAATCTTGTTGGACGAGGAAAGATAAGCATTATGTTTTAAATGAATGATCTAAGGTTGATTTGTGAATCTAGTTACTCTAAGATGGCTAGCCTAGCATTCTTTCAGTCAGTGAGCAAGTAAACAAGAATTAGTTAAAATACAATATGAAGTTTTGCATCTAAGATGGTTACATGATAATTTTTTATACAAGTGAGTCATATGTTCCTTCAATAACAACTTTTTTGATGGCGTCCAAAACTCTTTGATAGTTTAACATAAATCTTGAAGGTAACTTTTTGCACTCGTATTCATCTTGTGTATTCAAAGGCCATGAATATCTAGATCAACTCCACCAAGCTCCATCTTTCTCAGAGTTGGTTCTAGTTTACTAGTCATGCCTGTTGGGGATGGAACGAAGTAAAAAAGGCAATGAAACAAACAATAAAGTAAAAGAAACGGAAAGTAAAGGACATTAGGATTTAACATGAAAAAAAAGCTCAAAATCAGGAAAAAATCACGAAGCCGCACCGCATCAAGAAATCCACTATGAAAATTGGGAGAAATAAGTACATCTCTCTTATCTCTCACTCTTTACTTACTTCTCTTCTCTCTTACACCATTCTCACGCATCAAACAAAAGAGAAAAAGTCTCTATATACCACAAAGGGACGCCACTCTTGAGAAAAACGAGAAGGAAAATTGTTCAATCATCTTTGAAGCACTGCGACACCAGTTTGGAGCACTGTTTGTTTCTTTTTGATACTGTGGTTGGAGCACTGCGCTCAAACCTATGATTGCGATCTGTCTGATGATGCTGAGGCGCTCAAACCTGCAACGCTATAGCACTACACAACGTTGTGGTGCTGAATCTAGAGTTTTGCAATACTCCGCTTTCTATCGTTTCTCCCAGCAAACATTGCAGCACCAGGGAGCTCGGTACACAGCGCCGTGGGCTTTGCTCGGGAAAAAAAAAATTTACCTGTGCAAAGCACCTGAAACCAAACAGGAGAAGGATCCCCCCAGCACGAGAAATTGACTTGAGAACCGTGGCAAAAAAAAAACTCCATTGATCAACACGATCAAATTCCACACATAACTAACAATGCCTCCCCTAACAAGCTAAACTCTCGACCCAGAATTATTGAAGAAAAATTGTGGGAGATAATGGAGATCGAGTTTCAAACTCCAAAGAATTTGTCGCCGCCATCGAAGAGGTCTTTGAAGGAATATGTGAATCACATGTTATCTTACTTTTCGTGGTTAAATAGCATCTAATTACGTTCATCAACTATAAAACACAAGTTTGTTTTTAAGAGAGATGCAATTTTAAGAGAGATGCCAGATTAATTCATACTTGCATGCTCTATGCTTACACTTAACCAAGCTATGGAGTTAACTGAAATTTAGAGCTGGAGATTATATTTGTTTCTTTTTTATAAACTACCCCAAGATTCCTCAACTAGAGAACAATCAATCAATTACATAGGTAAGATGGTCATTGAGTAATTTGAATGGAGCAGAAAAATGAATTTAAATTTTACAAAATAACTTATGTTAAGATGAGCTTGATTTTTTTGTCTCTCATGGATTAATTTTCCAAGAAGCAGAAAGTTAAATCTGCCCTAAGGGCATCTCTAACCGAACTCTATTTGAACATTTGCAGTTCCAGTGAACCTGCACCCGAACGGCATATGCATATGCATTTTTTGTGACTGTGAATAGTGCGATGCCAAACCCATTTTTTTAATTGTTAAGTTATCCTAAAATTATTAAATTTTATGATTTTGATACCAAACATAATAGTTCAATTTATGTTATAAATTTTCTAATTTTAATATCTTTAATTTTTTATTTAATTAACTTATTTAAATTAGGTTTTTCATTTAAAATAATTTAAAATGCAATAGCTTAATTAAAATACAACATTAATATATAAACAGAGAGGAGAAAGAATATACTCAAAATATTCTTTTTTTTTTTTTAAATTGGAGTTCGGTTGAAGATGAATTACTCTGTGATATGATTGTTATAATATTTTGAAGTGAAAAATAAGTTTTTTGGTTAGAGATTCCCTAAATTTATAAGAGTATTTACTTACATACCATATAATTCTTATCTATTTTTTTTATCTAACTCCTAAATATTTATATTTATTTATATAATTTCATAGTATTTAAATCATATAAAAATAAATGCATGCAAAAGTATATTTTACTTTAATAAGTTAATTTTAGTGATATTTTTTTTATGAAATTTAGAAATTAACTTTGAAATTTATACTAAATTTTCAACCATTAAATCAGAAGGCATCTTGATGTTTAAGAGTTTAATTTTTTTTTACTTAGGGGGTA